TGAACTGAACCTGAACTGAACCTGAACTTGACTTAAAAGTTCAATATTGAACCTGAACTGAACTTTTTTTAAAAAAAATTCAAGTTCAATTTTGAACTGAACTTGAACTTGGACAAAAGTTCAGTTCAGTTCAGTTTATAGGAACACTATCTTCTAAATATATAGTATATACTATATAGACTGTTCTAATAGAAAGTTAATTGTATAGTAAAATTAACTTAAAATCAAATAAAAGAAGATGGCCAAGAGGTCACCTTAATATTGAAAAAAATTAATTTTTTGGTTTTAATATAGTATTAAAAATTATATTAATTATTAGTAATGATTTATTGGTATCTCTAAATAAAATAATAAAATACTAAATTAAAATATTAATCCAATTAACCAATAAAGCAAATATGATAATACTAATTATAAAAAATATCATCATGTAATAATCATAAAGAACTTATATACAGATTCTTTTTTACTATTAATTTAACTGTAAAAACTATAATATAATCAACTTAAATGATTTTGAAACAATATTTACGAAACAACAATTATATAACAACTAGTATATATAGTATTTTTATTCTGGATCAGAGAAGAGAGAATACGGTTTAATAAATTTTTGGGATTTGTACAAAAATAAAACGAAAAAAAATTTTTTAGTAAACAAATTTGCCTGCTGGATGGTTTAAAAAATGGTACTAAATATTTTTATTTAGAAAGTTAAAATAGATTAATAAAATTTTTAATCCAAAAATATTCAAACTTATGTTCACAACTGTCCCGTGCTCTAGATGATAATTACAATGGGTTATGGTTAGTAATATCTATAAAATTTTATGAAAAAAAAGGGGTATAGAAATAGATACTACGTACGTACGTATTATCTAATTTGTTTAATCAATGTTACGGCTGATGCTGAAGTTTGGCTGATGTTGAAGCTAAAAAATCTGATTGGCTAAATTTTGCAGATCACCCTAACCCTAACCAATCAGATTTTTTAGCTTCAACATCAGCCAAACTTCAGCATCAGCCGTCACAATCAATTTAGTAACCTACATATTCAAATTAGTAATTCAGATTTACAATACGTATCCCTTTGAAAAAGTATAAAAAACATCTAATGTTGTGAATGTTTACTATTATTACCTCGCAAACAATTCATTCGACAAATGTGTATAAAAAACATTTAGTAACTTGCATATTCAAATCAGTAGTTCAGATTTATAACTATCAAATAATATTTTAAAAATAATTGGATCGTAATGACTTGGAATTAAACTTCCAACATAGTAAAGTCAGGATTGGCAAATGGGTCATTTTTGTGTGGGATGGAGCACCGAAACATTATTTCTAATGTTATTCTAAATTACTAAATATAATAAATATTTCCAGAAGTTCCCAAAATGCTAACACCGGATATAATATATTGCATCCTCACTAACGCTAACAGATCCTTCAGTGCGACTGAATTAGATTTTCGTAACAAAGCAATTTTGCTTTAGCGTTTTGAATGAAGATCACCATTAATTTAATTTGTATATGCAATCTAATTGGTCGATTCATGTCGTATTGAGATACAATTATTAACAAACAGTATACTATAAAATAAAATGACATGTGCGTACGATAATTGAGAATATAAAAAAGGCTTACGAAAGCAGAGATCTTTGAAATATTTTGTGTTCTCACGCTCTGCTCATTTTGCATTCAAGAGACTTTCTGTCAGTTAGAAAGGGTCGTCTTTGACAATTTGAAGCCACAAGTCATATATAGGAAGGAAGGGTGTACTTGATCATCGAGCATTTATTAATTAGGCTTTATTAGATATACCTGCATTATGGGGGACGAGGAAGGTGATTATGAAGAATTCTATAAACATATGATCTTGTTAGAAAATTTTTACTATGACAGATTTTGTAAATCACGGTTAAACATGCGATTAATCAATCATAATCTAATTCAACCCATTTTTTTTCTAAAGACGTTTGTCGTGTTTGTCGTAGCGAACGCACAGAAGAGCAGCCGTTGTTCCACCCTTGTAAATGCGCCGGCAGTATCAGATTTGTGCACCAAGATTGGTACGTAATTTTTTTTACTACAATTCGGTTTAATCCATTCATATTTCGTATACTCATTATTCATTTATATATCTTTTTAATTTAATATAAAGCCTCACAGAATGGTTAAAACATAGCAAAAAGAAGTAATTCACTGTTTTCTCTCTTCTCTCCTTCTTTTTGTTTGTTTCCTTTATCCAAAATTTTTTTTTTTTTTAAAAAAATTTAATTCTCTATTCATTAGGTATTGTGAAGTATGCAAATATCCTTTTTCATTTACACCAAGTAAGAAAACATTACAGAGCATGTTGTTTATTAACAATTCTAAGAAATATTCATCGGGGATAGTCTTTAACAATGATTTTTGAATTAGTTTATGATCCTAGCATGCCGGAGTCTATTCCTATTGTTCTGTTTCTTCGTCGTGGAATACGACGTTTTTGTGGGCTAATTCAGATATGGCTTCGAGCAATGCTTGTAGGAGCTGTATGGTTGATAACGTTACCTTATATGACTGTTTGGGTATGGAGATTTTATTTTTGGAGCGGAGAGAGTGTAGCTTTTAGTCTGAATGGTCAGAGTCCACCTTCTAGATTGATAGACAATAAAAATAGCACTATGCCTGGTGAAAAGAGTGCGTTGGCCATCTTTTATGTTGCGCTACTCAAAGGAACATTATGGTATATACCCCCTGAGGCTGTTGAATTTGTTGAGGCTTATGGCGACTTTGCCAGGTTAGTTAAATATTTATATTGCAATGGTTTTTGCATTAAGGTTTTTAGAACTTAAATATCTTATCTTTTTGAACAGTAAGTTTTTGGCTGACACATTTGAAGGACAGATCATTACATGTGTTGTAGTAATAGTGTTCGTGGCTGTGTTTATGTTGAGAGAATGGATAGTACAGAATACACCAGCTGAAGATGGCCTAGAGAACGATGAATTGGACATTTTAGAAAATGATGCAATCCAAAATGAAGGAATGGAAAATAATGGAATAGGCTTACCAAATATCGCGCCAATACCTGAACAAAATGCTAACCGTCCCGAACAACTGGGAAATAATAATGATGGGGAATTCGTTTTTCAGAATGGCATGCGCTTACCATTATTTCAGCCACAATTACAATTTGAGAATTTAGAGCCAATGCAACAACCTGAAATTGAACCTATACAGAATCAAATGCAAGATACTGGCGAGTTACGTGTGGAAAACCTTGCACCACAAACTGAAATGCCAGGATTAAATCAGAATGATATTGAATCTGATTGGATGGAAGATGAATACCATCAGATAAATAATGGCGACACACAAATTGAATCAAATGTTGAAGCAATTGATAAAAGTCCAGGTCTTTTATATCAGGATGATTTCGAAGGTGATAAGAATTCAGGCAGTACCCAGTCTATTTCAACATCATCAGTACCTCATCCAACATGGGATAATGAACAATCAAATGATAGTGGTGGTAAATCTATTGTGGCAGATGTGCAACAACCTCCTTTTTATGTTCCGTACGCAGCAGCAGGTACAAGACTCTCTATATCTGATTACATGGATGAAATAAATCAAAAGGATGAAGATGAATCTTTGGCTCAATCTGATTTTTTGACCGGATATTCTAAAAGTGATGAATTGCCCTCATCATCGCAAAAGTTACCATCGCTTGCTTCAAACAATTCCAATTTGGGACAATTTGAGTCAAAATGTGTCGATCCTGAACGAGATGATGAGTCAAAAAGTAAATCCACACAAAATTTTTCATCGACTTCAAAGACATCTTCTGGGCAATATAATATTGGTAATCTCGGAGGAACTCGAAGAATACGACCAATTAGTAAAGTGAGAAGGGTGGGTGCCCCAACTTCGGGGTTATTAAATACTCAAAAACTCGGTGCCACATCAACAAACCCCTCATCTTACGACAATGAAGAAACTGTTAATGGTACTTCTTCAATGGATTTAAACTACCATAAAGTTTCTTCAACTAAAGAATCGCCTTCTGATAACAACGGTGATTACGAAGAAGCATCAGAAACATCAGATAGTGACGAAGATAATGAAGATATAAATCTTCAAGAAAAGTATCCGAGAGAAGTTGGCACAGCCTACAGCCCTTCAAGAGATATAACAAATGGAAATGTTTATTATGCTGATGATTCAGCATTCCCCCTGCATCGTATTCCTAAGAATGGCCAGAATTCATCGGTTACTAACCTTTTTGGAAACAGTGAAGATGAAATGTCTGATATGGATGATGACGATGATGATGACGATGACGACGATGATGATGATGATGGAGAAAATCATAACTCTGAAGATAATCCAATCGAAAGGGAAAATGCTGAACAAGGAGGAGGACCTGTGGATGTAATAGACGGTAGGTTCATAGTATATATGATAAATTCATAATGATAACTGTGATGTTCCATTTTTCATATATTTGTGACAGGTGGCGACAACGGTCAACCTGATCCTGGCTTGGATGTTATTAATGTTCAGCAACAAGAAAGACAAGAACAGCAAGCTGATACAATTTGGACTCAAATTTGGAATTGGGTCACCAACGTTTTGAATGATATACCTGATCTCAATAACGAAGCACAAGATAACGATCCACAAGCTGTCAATGGTAATCAAGTTGCTATGAACCCACCCATTGGCCCAGTAAGAAGAGAGCCTAATGCGGAAGCACCTGTTTTTCCGGTTCCTGTATTTAATGAAGCTATCGATGTTCCGGTTGCTGGTCCTGCTTTAGGTCTTGAACCAGAAGAGGAAGAAGAAGAAAACGTTGCCAATGAAGATCTTGAAGGAGTTTTAGAAGCCATTGGCATGAGAGGCTCTTTGTGGATGCTTGCTCAAAACTCTGCATTGATGGCAGTACTAATTGCTTTATGCCTATTTGGTTCAGTTTGGTTGCCTTACTTCGTTGGCAAAGCATTTTTACTGGTATATATATTAAGACTTGTGTTTAGTGTTAAAAATAGAAGTTTAAAATTATATACTTATTTAAATGTTTTCTAGGTCAAACCTTTGAACTTGATACAACTTCCATTGACTTTATTGCGGAAAGTGACTGATCCTTTCGTCGATCTAATCATTGATACCACATTACCTTGGTTATGGGGGTTCATTTTACCAATATTAAAGTCATTATGGAACTTAATTTATCCTACTTTATCGCCATTGGTTAAAGACACGTCCTTAATGATTTATATACAAGACATTACAAACCAATCTCGATACATTATCACTCATTCTGCATCTCTTTTGACACAAATTACCTCCACTTCTGGAAAAATAACAAACGGTACCGTTATAGATAGTAATGTAAATCATGTTTCTGAGTTTCTCGAAGGCCAAAATTTAACAGTACTTGTGAAAATAATTGATCGGTGGAATGGATTTGCTTACGGTAATACACCAACGGACAAGATTGTCTGCATTTTCTGTGGATATACAATCATTATCCTTTTGTGCGTGTGGTATTTATCACGAACAAGAAATCCGTATGGTCGTACTGTTGGACGTGCTGCTCAAAAAGTGCTGCGACAACAGGGAATTGTCTTAAAGGTTTGATGTATAAAATTACTTCCTCTTGTATTTAATTCTAACTTTCTGGATTATTCATAAAATTCTCTTTCCAGGTTGCATTTTTTGTCGCTATTGAGTTGTTAATTTTCCCCATTATATGTGGTATCTTGTTGGATTTATCTACTTTACCACTTTTCCCTGACGCCACCCCAACATCTCGCTTGGAGTTCTACCTCGAATCACCTGTCACTTCAACATTTCTTCATTGGTTTACTGGCACTGCATTTATGTTTCATTTTGCGGTGTTTGTTTCTCTCTGTCGTGAAATTGTTCGTACTGGCGTAATGTGGTTCATTCGTGATCCAAATGATCCGCAATTCCATCCCATCAAAGAAATTTTAGAAAGACCTGTCTGGACACAATTGAAAAAAATTGGTGCAAGCGGTATTATGTACAGTGCTATGATTGTATGTGGATTAGGAAGTGTTATATATTTCATTAGATATGCCTTTAATGGTATATTACCTTTGCAATGGTCGTTCACGTATGCATTTTCGCCTAATTATCTTTACTGATATCTTTTTCTCATTAAGATTAACCTCAACTTTTAATGTTTAGCGAACCTATATCGGATTTTCCTGCTGATCTTTTGGTGTTCCATATAATTATTCCCGTCACTGTCACATTGGCGAAACCTAAACGCTTGTTCCGTACATTATTTGAAAATTGGTGGCATATTACCTCACATCACCTTCGATTGACATCCTTCATGTTTGGAGGACGTCATTATGATGAAGAAGGTACGCATGTTCGAAAGACATGGCGTGCCTTCTTTCTCTTTCTTAAGGCACCAATCGTTGATAATAATGCTATTGAAAATGATGATGTTGCTTTCGTGAAAGATGGCGGGTTTGTTCGAGCACCAAGTTATGATGCCGTACCCGTAGAACCAGGAAAACGGATGCTGATACCTGTTACCGAAGACGGTACTTTGATCGATCCTAATGATGCATCTGCTATAGATGATGATCAGCCTGGATATACAATTGTTTATATTCCTCCTAATTTCAGAGCAAGAATTATATTGTTTTTATTTCTTATGTGGTTTTGTGGTTCTTTGTTTTGTTGTTCAGTGACTGTTTTACCTCGTAAGTTGTTTTTATATTACCAGGCTCTTGAAATACTGTTTATTATATTGATACTCATTTTTCTTTTATTATAGTTTTGACTGGTCGATTTATTTTTCAAACCATTCTTTGTTATGAACGCCCTGTCCACGACTTATACACATTTACAGTTGGTTTATATGTCATGTGGTCATTGGGCGTCACTCTTGAATGGTTAATACGGAAATGTCAAGCTTTCGCTGAAAAACGAGACCGTTATGCTGATTGGGCTGATATAAAGCGTAAAATAGGGCAAGGAATTATTATAATCGCAAAAATAGCATATCTCTTTATATCTTTCGGTATTGTTATTCCATTCCTTCTTTCTTAAGGGGACATATAAACTATGAATTTAAGAAAAATTGTGAATGAATTTGAGGAATACTAAAGGTTTTAAGGTGATAACACGGAAATGGTTAAAATAAAAATTCTATGCTGCCAATGAGGCATTATTAGGATTATTACGAGCATTACTGTCATTTCCAGCTTGCTCATTTGGTTCTATATTATGTAGCCTTCGTCCTATAAGATATTCTTCATCCCTAACTGTTTGCATCCAATTTTCTATTAATTGTGCAGTTTGTCTTTGGATTCGATACCCGAATACCATTGCCAAAAAAACTGGATATATAAATCGATTAATTCTAGCTATTGTAATGGCATTTGTAATGCCTAAACATAAAAGGAAAAAAAATTAGCATATTAAAAAATATTCCGTGAAATACAATGAACTTACCCGACAAACGTATAATTCCCCACGCTGTGAAAGCAGGAAATATAACTGCTAACAATGCAGAACCACCAATAGGAATAATAAAAACGGTCGTTGCTAATTTAACATTTAAGCGTCTTATGCCATGTACAGTAATCTGATCGAAATCAAATAAAAATTAACCGCAAATTCCTGTAATATTATGTAATAAATATAAATAAAACTCTGCATTGATGGCAGTACTAATTGCTTTATGCCTATTTGGTTCAGTTTGGTTGCCTTA